GGTGTCGAATCGTACGGTGTCGAATAATTTGGTGTCGAATAAATCTGTGTCAAATCGAGCGGTGTCGAATCGTACTGTGGTCAATAGAGTATCACCCGAAAAAAGAGATCTCTGAGAGACCTGCGCTCAAGCGGAAAATCGCGAGCTGATGATTTTTTGCCCGCCGACGGCCGTCTTATGTAGCCGCCGGGGGAAATGTCGCTAGCGGGTGACCTGCCTTCGCCGTGCGCCACGCCGCGGCGACGCGCCGAACTAGGCGCTCTGCGGCGGTTGCCAGCCCCGAGTTTAAGGCTGCCTCACTGCCGCGCAGTACGTTCGTGGTGTGATACGCACCACAATAGGGATTGAAAGAATTTGCTGAAGACAGCTTCAGTAATTTTGTTGCAATTCTTTATGTCTTTCCATGTGATGTATTTGTCGCTGTCTCGATCTTCATCTTCGTCAGTGTCTTGATCTCTGTTTTTATTTCTATATTTATCTCTGTTCCTTTCTGTATCTTTACTTTTACGAGAATGTTTATATGATTTTTCACATCCACCACATCTATAACAATATTTATATTTCGTTAATGACTTATAATAATTAAAAAGCTTTGATAAAAATCAGTATATTTTTTAGTAAACATATATATATAGAAAAAAAAACTTCTACAATCAAAATATGTTACTTTATGTTTAAAAAAAATGCAAAGTAATCTAATAATAATAATAACAAATTCATCAAAAGATGCGGTGTGTCGTATAATATAATAAATAAACGTCTTTGTGTATGTCTCCGATAGATCCATATACCAGTTTATTGATTTTTATTTTTTTTCTGACACAAATAAATTTCTAATTAAATAATTTGATACTTGTACCTGCAGTGTGAGTTGCGTTTTAGTTCTTTAGAACGTGAACGCTTAGTACGCCGTTTATCCTCTACATCTATATCTGTATAATTTTTCTCACATATTTTATATTGTTTTGATCTGTTTTTTCTGGGACAGAAAAAATATAAATTCTCTCTCCTCTTTATTAGAAACCACAATTTATTAGTTATTGCTAACTATATGTTTATGTATTTCAAAGATAATATTTTTGAATTTTTTCAACTTCGTTTACGATCAAAAATTAAAACCTTTATTAAACCTTTATTAAAAATTTGTTTTCTATGACAATTTTGTTGACATAGTTTATAGTTCAAGGTTTGCACCAAAAATAAAAGAAAAAAGTGTGTATTTAGGAGTATTTGTATTGGACAAGTGTTAACAATTAAACCTGTTACTTGAGTTTGGTGATAGAGACCTCTTTCTTGAAGTTCGCATTTTGTTTGTTTCAGAATCTGAAATATTTAGTATTCTAGTATATGAATGTTTCACAACTGTTATATATTATTTGTATATATGTATGTAGAATATTGTTTTAAAAAATAAAAAAATAGAAAAATAAAAACCAATTTGTCAGAGTTATGTCAAATACATAACATTGAAGTAACACAATTAAAATATTAAAACAGTATAATCTTAATATAATTTGTTATACCTAACTGAATTTTTCTTATAATTGTACGGTGTTCCTTTTTTTCGTCCTCTTTAATTGCTCCCTGTTATATTTCTGTTTTATCAAATATCGGTTTACATCTTTCTCCTAGACAGTTTGTATTGGATAAATGCAAAAGTTTTGATAGATTTTGTAATGATAAAATAGACCAAGTAATTATTTAGACCAGTAAACAAAAAATGATTATTTATTCTCTCTATAAGTAATCCCCATTGTTTTTTATTACTTACCCAATTTTATGTGTTTTAAGTACGCACTTTTTATATACTTTTATGAGCTTGAAATCTTCAGAGAAGAAATACAATTATTTTATCCAAGAATATATTATTAAAATCTTCAGAGAATACTTTACATCTTCCAAAAGACGCAAAATGTATCTACTTTAATAATGTATATACATTTGTTATTATATATGTATATATATGTATATATACTCATAATTGTTGAAAAGTACATGCTATTAAATTAACATTTTATTCTTGCAAAACAAAAAAATTTTACATCAAATGTAAAAACTAAACACAAATATTTGATTTTTGTTGTAACAGTTTTTGTAAAATCTAGATGATTTCATCATCAATCATCAATTTTTACAATTGTTAAAGTACAGTGGTAAATCTTTAGTAACGATTATTTTGTGAAAGTAAAATATAAATAAATCTTCATATAGAAGTAAAATCTTCATATAGAAGTAAATCTTCATAAAGAAATAAATGACCAATAATCATAATCAAATTTAATATTTAAGATTGCGTGTCTAAGACTATCTTAAATGTAAGAATAAATTATGAATATTAGCCTAAGAAACAGAAATCTTGACTTGATATGATAATTTCACAATTTATATAATTGATATAACACACATTGCTGATAAATTCAATTCGGAAGCTACTTCAAATATAGTAATTAGCCTCTTTATTTGTTGCATTGCTAAATATTAATCAAAACTATATAGAAAATTCTTCTTCTGTAAAAACTATATAGAAATTCAAATAAATGTAACAATTTAACGTCTCTTCTCGGAATAATCACATCATCAGGATTACGTATATCTCGTTTTATTTCAGGAATAGGTCCTTTCACAGGAATGTTTCTGCGGATATCAACTTTAATACGACGTAATTCTGTACTGTTAATGAGTCGACCTTCTGGATCTTTAAACCAAGGTCCAGAAAGTTTATTTAAATTTCTAAAAAAAAAATGTAATTACATGTAAAAATGTTTTTATATTGTTATTACTAATATTATTATTATTACATAGCTACAATAAGTCTCTAAATTCTAAAGTGTATGACTTTTGTAACATACTTGAAAAAACGTTTTTATTATTTTATTAAATGTTCTACCTTTTATTTCTCATAGCTGGCTTTAAATTTTCATCATTTGTATTATCAAAACTAATTTGTATATATATTTATTTATCTTTACACAAAAATATCAATAAATGATTAGATTAAAAATCGAGTAGAACATTTTCTTACATAGCTACTTATCTAAGACTCACTTTTTGAAGGTAGATAGATATTGATCCGGTGATCTTCCTGATCTTCCTGTATGACGAGGAGGAGGAGAGTCACTAGGGCTTCTTTTACCCAGCTCTTGCGCCCGTTTTCTTTCCCATTCCTCAATTTTTTGTTTTCTCAATCTCTCATGTTCCTGTTCTAGCTCTTGATGACGTCTCCATTCTTTTCTTCTCTCGAGCTTTTCTTCAGTTCTCGATCTTGAAGTGGAGGGAACAGTATCTTCATCTATGGTGTATTTACCAGATCTTTAATTCGTGGTACAGGAAATAAATTGTCAAACGTACTGATCTTATTTGGTAATGTAAAAATGAAAGCAAAAGTCAGAGCTGAAAAATTGACCGAATAATAGATTTTCACACTAATAAGAATTTCGAATAATTTATGTTTTAATTTGTATATAACTGAAATTTAACGTAATTTTTTATAAACGATTCTCTCATATATTTAATACAGCTATAATAAAAGGTCTAATCACACATTACACAGTCGAACAAGTTCGGTTCAGTGTGATGTTGGCTGGAGGGCCCTAGATACCCATACGCCATTCTTCGGATAAAAAAAACCATTAAAAAGACATGTTAAGGCGATTTTTGGCGATCGTATGGTACATGTACCAAAGTGTACCAAACTATAATTTGAAGTCACTTGAACTATAGTTTGGTACACTTTGGTATATGTAC